TTTTCTGTCAGCACCCAGAAAGTATTAACAGGCTGACAGTAGGTAAAATTCCAGACTCTTGCAAGGTCTTGCTTCAAAAGAAATTATTTGATAATTCAAAGTGAGAAAACGTGTTTGATTTACTTTATAACTCAGAGGATTTACTTTATAACTCAGAGGAATTCTTACAGACATACTTTTAAGGAAGATGACAGAGAGAGGCCAATTAAAATAGGTGTTTAAAACAACAGAATGACCTCACAGGGGCAATTAAAGAACTGTTGAGGTTTTGATATTTTAGAGATGAACTATTTTGCTATCTCCATAGATGGAAAAACAAAAAACAAAAACAAAAAAAAAAAACCAGAGTCCAGTCTGACATGTAAAACGTTTGGAAATTGTCATTCTTATTCTCACAATAAGAAAAAATCTGAACTGAAAATCAACAAATCTTCTTAAATCAATCAAGGAATTGAGGTAACAGAGCAAACTGCTACACCCAAAACTAAAGATAGGCAGATACAGAATGGAAGCTTTGAGCAGAAGCCCACACAAGAACCACTAGTGGTAGGAACACTTAAACTGTTATTGACAAATAATTGGAGGCTCAGTGTAGACTAATTTGGAGCTAAAAACTTGGGGAAGGAGAGGAGACTCAGAGAGATGCCAACATTTCCTAAATTATACCTCCAGAAACCTCACTAGATGCTCACTCTGAAGACTGGACAAAAATCCCCTAACGCATCATCATGGGGAGTGAAAACTAACCACGCTGAAACTTGTCCAGAGCTTTTCTGTTCTTAAGAAAAGCCTGCTCTAAAAGAAATGTTTTACCCAAACCTAACAGACTTGAGTTTCACTAAAGCCTAACAAATATGGGGGAAGACAAATGACTAACTGTAGCCTTTGACATGGGGAAAGAAAAATACCCTACTCCAGCCCCTTCTAGCCATCCTTTGTTACAGAAGCGGAGAGAAAAAAAGCTGAGTGGCACCTGTATAGGTCAAAACCTAGGACACGAGATCGTTAAAACCCTGAGACGTAATCATAGGACTAAAGAATGATTATTCTCTCTATATACATTACCAGTATATCAATAGGGCTCCTGTATAATAACAGGGCATTTTAGTTGAAAGAACTGCAAGCCTTAGACTCTACTTAGGAAGGAATCTTTAGGGAAACTCAAAGACAACAGAGGAGATAAAAACAAGGGTATTAGAGGAAAATTTACCTTCTTGCACAGTTAGAAGAAACAGAAAACACAGTCTAACTTCTAGCCAGATAAATATAAAGGAAAATGATATAGTCAGATCTATATAAAGAAAGGAAGAGAATTAAAGAGTAACAGAAGGAATGTTGTTGGGTGCTGTTGAGTCGATTTTTAACTTATAGTGACCCTACGTGATGGAGCAGAACTGCCCCGTAGGGTTTTCTAGGACATAATCTTTACAGGAGTAGATACACAGGCCTTTCTCCCACTGAGCCACTGGCTGAGTTCAAATCACAAACCTTTCAGTTAACAGCCAAGCACTTACACATCAGGGCTCCTAAATGAAAGTAAAGTAAAATTTTTTTCTTATCATTATTCTTAATCAATCTATTAACAGTTTTTTCAAAATAATGATAGTAGCATTATTTTCATAGAGAAAAGAAATGAATGACGGTGACATAATAAGAGATGGGAGACAAGAATTGAAAATACTGTTACAAGGTATCTGCACTACCTGTGAAATGATATAGTTTTATTTGAAAATGGATTTAGTTTGGTTGTCAGTGTATATTGCCAGCCATTATAAAAATGTAAAATAGATAACAGGGTATATGCTAAGACAGGAGAAATAATGGAATTAAAAAAATTTCAATTAAAACCAGTGAAGGCAGAAAAAGAGAAGGGGGAAAAAAAAAAAAGGAAGGACAACAGAAAACAGCTAAAAATATGGTTGTTGTTGTTGTTGTTATGTGCCATCGAGTTGGACCTGACTCACAGTGACCCCTCCTTGGGTTTCCAAGGAGGTATCACTATGAAAGTAGATTGCCCAGCCTTCCTTCTGAGGAGTAGCTACCAGAGCTCCCAAAAATATGGTAGATATCAATAATAACACTAACTGTGAATGGTCTAAATATATCACATAAAATAAACTATCAGAGTGCATTAAAAAAACAAGGCCCAGTTGTCTACAACTTGTTGTCTACAACAAGTTATGTTGTCTACAAAAAACTCATTTTAAATATAAAGACACAGAGAGATTAAAAGTCATAGGATGGAGGAAAGAATAGTCTTCAATAAATGGTGCTAGGACAACTTGATCTCCATATGTAAAAGAATGGAGTACAATCCCTACCTCACACCATATATAAAAACTAACTAGAAATGGATCAAGGATCTAACTATAAAAACTAAAACCATAAAACTATTAGAAAAAAACAGCAGAATAAGGCACAACGATCTAGGTTCTGACAATGGATCCTTAGACATGACATTCAAAGTGCTAGCAACAAAAGATAAAATAGGTAAATTGGACTTCATCAAAATGAAAACCTTTTGTACATGAAAGGGCTTTATCAAGAAAGTAAAAAAAAAATAATTTACAGAATGCGAGAAAATATTTGGTAATCCTATATCTGATAAGGGTTTAATATCCAAAATATATTTTAAAAAACTCATACAACAGACAAGCAATCATATACGTATATACAAATATGTACAGTCAATCATTGTTTGTGGATTCCATATTTGTGAATTGACCTACTTTTACAAATTTTATTTACAACCTTCAAATCAGTAGTCATGGTACTGTCACATTCATTTCATGAACACATGGAGAGAATGGCAAAAATTTTAAGTTCCTTGATGCACACCTCCTAACTGAGGTCAAACCAGGCAATACTCTACCTTCTGTTTCATATCTCTTAGGGTAAATAAGCATTTTTAATGGTCTTTTAGTGCTTTTTTCTTTTCTTTTCTTTTTTTTTTTTGCATTTCTTAAGCTTTTTTTGTGTGTGTCTGGTGATTTTTGTTGTTCAAAATGGCCCCCAAATATAGTGCTGAAGTGTTTTCTAGTGTTCTTAAGTGCAAGGCTATAATGCGATTTATAAAGAAAACACATGTGTGCTAGATAAGCTTCATTAGGCATGAATTATAGTGCCACTGGCTACAAGTCCAATGTTAATGAATCAGAAATATATACTAAATATGGTATTTTTAAACAGAAACATGATTGTAAGGATGGTATGTTGTTGTTGTTGTTGTTATGTGCCATCGAGTCGGACCTGACTCATAGCGACCCCTCCTTGGGTTTCCAAGGCAGTATCACTACAGAAGTACATTGCCCCATCTTCCTTCCGAGGAGTGGCTGGTGGGTTTGAACGTCCAGCCTTCTGGTTAGCAGTCAAGTGCCTTAGACACTACGCTATCAGAGCTCCTTAAAGATGGTATAAGACTGGGCAATGTTTCATTCTACTTTACATAAAGTTACCAAAAGTCAAAGCTGACTCAGTGGCAACTAAAAGGACAACAACAACAACAACCAACACATAAAACTAGGTTATATATTGATCAATTGATAAAAATATTGTGACCAGATGCTTGTAGAAATCTAATATATTTCCCTTAGAAGCAATAGTTCAGTATTCACTAATTCAATATTTACAATAGCATTATAGGAACTAACTACTGTGAAAATGAGAAAACTGCATTTGACACTTCACAAATATTTTATAAAACAATAATCCATATTTATGCATTTCATTTACTGAAAATACAAACTGAATTTTGAGAAAGTAAAATATCATTTTCTACTAATACACATGAAATAATATATGAAATAAAAAATATTCAAGGTTAAAAAGCTTCCTAGGGATAAAAAACTTATTAATCAAGTTTACATGTTTTGTTTTGTATTTTTAAAAAGAAAGTATTCTACCAAACCTGTCTAAAAGGCCAAAAATCTTTTAGGAGGTTGGTAATTAAAAATGTCTTCTACACAATGAAACAAAATTGAGCATAATTTCACTCCTGAAATAAAGCTTACTTTGGAGCAATAAAAACTTTGTTCATGCAACTTTCAGGCTAGAGAATCTTGTCATTCTCTATATCTTAAAACTTCTTCCATCAAGTAAATAATATGCCTTAGTGTATGTCTTGGGAGAGTTACAGTTTGGTGAATGTCATTTTAAACATTGGAAGCAAATTTGGGGCAAACAGTCCATAGCACTGTGTGGTGTTAAAGACTAAACTTAAGGCTCAATTTTATGTGCTGTTTTGACATCTGGTAAAATTCAATGGGCCTTAAAAGGCCTAACAAATTCCCCTCTTCACTCTGATCCATGACAGCCCTCTATATCAAAGTTATCAAGCACAGTTTCTGCTTAACCTTGAGTGGTTGGCTTCAGCTTTTGGCCAGCTAGAGGGATTATTCAAACAAGCCAATCATATCTTCCTACAGGAACCAGGGAATGCCCTATCCACCTGATACCTCAAAGCTTGCCTTTCATAGCCCCTTTTGTTTCACTCTGTTTCCAGATGCATCCTCCATGGGGCCTTGCATGGCATGTGGTGTCCTGTTCTCCTGGGCTGTGAGTACATGTGACTAATAAATTATTGTCAACCTCATCTGTCCAGTGTTAGATGTGGTGTGTTAAGTCATGCTCGTAACTCTAGAGTGGCTGAGGATGATTAGGAGGTAAGTAAAGTAACTACTATCTAATCTCACCCCAAAAAACTCTCTTCATTTCTTCACTCTGTCAGGGGTCTAAAATGACCAAAAAAATTAAGACATTCATATGAAATTCTCAGAGAGAACTTCTAATAAGCATGGAATAACCAGTGCTACACTGCTTCCCTCTGCCCTGCCCACCTCCCTCACCTCTCCAAAGCAAAGTGAATAAATATTTAACCTAGCCATTATTGAACAGGTCAACAGAGGTAATAGAAAATTTTATTCAGGGTTGTATAGAACACTGTGAATGCAAATTATTAGAAGATTAGCAATATAAAATTGAGTTCGAGAAAGTATATTCACCACATGGGTTGATTGCAGAGCTAAGTGAAGCAGCTCCAGTGGAAAGGCCGCCTTTTGAAACAGCTGAAGCCACAGAAGGTGTAGAAGATGAAGTTGGTGTAGTAGAGGAAGCTGTTGAGGATGGTAAGCGTTCTCCAGACTCCATATCTATGAGAGGGGAAACAAACGTTAATTCTTTGTATTAGATAGTGGAATTATCCATATGTATAAACCGTATTGAAATTACGTCAAACTTTTCACACATATTATTTTAAAATATGAAATAAATTTAGAAATATATGTTCAGAAAGATAAAATATGTAGTAGATAAAAATACAAAAGTAAAAATATCTA